CTAAGTTAAGGGGGCTAGCATGCACCAGGTCAAGCTCAATGTCTGAGACTGGGCAGAATGGTGCTTTTCCCCTATTCTTTATTTAGGTTTGTATAATGACTGGAATAGTTATTTAATAATCAGCAAGCATTTAGACAATGTGCAATTAGGAAAATTCATATTCAATTATGACAGTGATTGATTTACAACCTTGCCAAAAGCCCAGATTTCTGTGAGTAGCTGGAGCTTCAATTAGCGTGTAACACAAAGAAGCTTCTGAAAGCAAGAGAAGCATCTCTTCTCTGGAGTGTGCTGAAGCTGAAATATTTCAGGGCTTCAAATAAGCTGAAGTGGAACATCCATTGCCTGTATATCCAGGAGCTGGAATTACCTGAAACTCAAGAGAAACCCAAGTGTCCATAACTCAAGCTCTAACAAGGGCAGTAGGTCTGATGGCAGGAACATCTTGTCACTCAACTGTGGAGCAGCCAGAACTGTGATTTGGAGCTGGAGCTGTAAGAAGCAGCAGCTGAAGTAACTTAAGAGCTTCAAATACCTTGAACTGTAAGAAGCTGAATCATCCATTGGCCAGAGCTGTGAGAATCAGGAGCATCTCTAACCCAGAGCACCCAGTATTTGCATTGTCTATCAGCTGGAGCTGCAACAAGCCAGGGTGTCTGTCAGCCCGGAGCCACATGGGCACAGATAGGGCTGTCCCCTACAAGGAGTTCTTTCCAGCAGGGAGCCTGGCCTCTTCCTCTGGGAATTAAATACGTGTCATGTGCTCTTCACTGTGTGGAGGGTCTCTCTCAGCCCCATTCCTGACAGCAGAAGTGAGATGGGCTTTCTGGGGCAGCTCTTGTGCAGGGATCTGTGCCTGCGAAGGACTGCAGGCTGTTGGGTGCAGGTAAGGCACAAAGCAGGAGTCTCCTCTGTACCTGAAAAAAGAGAGACACCACTCAGTCAGAGCTGATGGGTGCACACCCCAGAGACCCTCAGGAGATGCCTGTCCCCCTCCCAGCCCAGAAGAGTCACATCTCTCCTCAGAAGGAGAGCCAAGAAAGAACATCTTGCTCAAGCCCCTCTGCTAAGCAGGGTGCATTTCAGCACAGGGATAGTAACCACTAACAATGGGCTGTTCCCAGCATTACATAGAACTGCTGCCAGTGTGGTGCAGCTGGATCAGACCCCAACAGCTCTTGCTTCATGTTCCCTGAACTCTTTTCCCATCTCCCAGTCCCCGAAATGTGAGGAACAAACCTCCTAGGAGTGGCTGTGGTAGTTCCCCACATGGCACTGATGCCTCTCTGGCATTTTCTGCCCCACGCCCATATTCATACAGTGCCAAAAAAGGCAGCAGGAATAGCCCCAACCTAGCCAGCCCTCAGAGGGGATTGAGTGCTCACCCACCATCCACAGCATCCCAGCCAGGGGATGGGGGTGTCCGAGAGCAGCAGCGTGAGTACAGCCTGCACACATCACTGCCAAGGGGCACCTCCTCCAGCAAAGTGCAAATTTTCATGCTTGCTTTACAGAACCAGTAGATAAAAAGCACAGACCAGCTAGGGAAGAGCTGCCAAAACTATCTCAGCCAACAGATTAGATGAATTAAGGAAACAAAAATTCATTTAAGCAGGCTTACCCTTAAACATCACCCAGAGGCCCCAGGGAGAAACACCGCAATTCAGAACAGGAGTAACACCTGCCCCGGGGTGTGAGCAGCTCTGCTCCAGCTGCTGTGGTTTCACTGCCTTGTCTGCCTGGGTGACGCAGGAAAGGTAAGATGCTCTTTCTCCTGGGCTGTGGCTGAGGCTGAATACAGGAGAAAACTACAGACAAATTAAGGTTTTCAAGACCAACAGCTGCCAGCTAATGAAATCTGTTTCCACTGGGAGAAAGGAGAAACCCCATTCCCTCAGTGAGGATGCCCATATAACAAATGCCTGTACCTGCTCCTGCCGGCTGTGCAGCTGTAGCCACTACCTCCGAACCGGAGCGGCCGTGGCCGTGTCCTGGTGTGCTGGGAGAACGCTGCGGCGCCCGCTGCCGGTCTAGGATCGAGGGCGGCCCTACATGGAAACCACAACGACCCTGGCCCCAGCGGGCAGGCACTGGCCTGAGGGACGGCGGGGAAGCACAGCGCAGGATTCCTCGAGTCGGGCGTTCAGCTGTTCACGCGGGACAGCTTTAACATTACTGCCAGAAACGCCTCAGGACCAGGAAAATATCCCTGTCCCAGCCACGCAGCCGCGGGCACGGGCGCTGCCCACGGGGCAGGGCTGACTCTGACGGGGAGCTGCTGTCACCGAGGTGCCTCACCTGGGGGTGCTGTGGGCCCTTGATATCCCTGGGACACGGTGCTGCCGCGGTCGGTCCATCCCAAAGGTGCTAAGCCCGAGAGCCACGGTGCTCCTGCGGCTGGACGGCTGCGGCGGTGCCGAGTTCTGGCACAGGGCGCTGGTTCTGGCACAGCAGCGCCTGCTGTCCTCTCCTCCTGCCCCTGCCCGCGCGGATCTCACGGGAGAAACGAGATCCCTGCGGGAAAAGCCCGAGCTCGTCACGCCCTCGTGTGCGCGAGGAGGGTGAAACACCGGGAGCGACCTACAGAGAGTTTGGGGGCTGTGGGTTTCATAGGAAAGCGTGTTCCTTAAATAACTGCCCGGGTAGGGTGGGATGTTCACTAAGATTCTGTAGCTCTGAGGGGGACAGTACAAAACTGCGGGCGGTAGAAATTCCTGGAAGTGCAGCTGTGCCCAAAGGGGAAAGTGGGGCAGATCCAAGGGGGGTCGTGGGGCTCCGGGCAGGTCTGAGCCTGGTGCTGGGTGCCTGTGGTAGGAGAACAGAGGGTCTGGTGCCTGAGGAACACAGAGACTTCCAAAATGCAGTAGGAGAGGGGTGATGGAGATAGACTTTGGTAGCTCCTTGAAGAGTCCCCCCTTGCTGCCTTGCTAGCCCAAGTGCAGGCTGGAGGATGACTGCAGGGGGGCTGTTCTGTCTCAGTACCCCAGGTCAGAGTGACAAACCTTCTCCTTGCCCTACAAGCCTCAGAGGTGGCTGCTTTGGGTTTGTGTAACTCCAGGATGTGGATCACCTGTGACAAAAGGCTGCTACTGGCAGCACTTTGACAAGTGATGTGACGCTAATACCTCAATTAATGCATATAGGTGTGCCTACAGGTAAGTGATTGTAAGTATGACCTTGGTTTACTGGTGGCCATTTGTAGTAATTTGTAATAAAGAAATTCACAGAAACAAAAATTCCATGTCCTTGTGTACTACAGCATCCTACAAACCTGCTGTTTTGACCTTCACCCACATCACAGGTTGTGGCACTGACACCTGTGCAGCTAAACCAGCCTGGCCTGGGGTTCCCGCAGCATTAGGGGCACATGCTCTGGGCTGGCATCACCCAGCTTTGCCCACCCCACAGCCCCTGTACAGAAATCATGCCCAGAGAAGGGAGAAACTTCCCTGTGGTACATGGTACTTGCCAGTCTGGAGAGAGGCACCTGTGGACTCCCACAGCATCCCCCACGTAGTGCCACAGACCCACCACCACCCCACACAGCCCCAAGCCTGGCCCAGGGGTAGGCACCACAGCCCCCAGCAACACTCAGACTGCTCCTTGAGTGGGTGAGAAGCAATAACCAGCACCACAAACCACAGTGGGTTTTTCTGAGCAACACCTGGACACCACCCTGGCATGATCGACCTGCCAGGCTCTGCTGTGGGTGCAGCACCAGCCGCCTTCTGCCCCTCTGACACGATGTGCCCCTCCTGTGGTGTGACACTGAGATGCCCATGCCCTGGCCAGCAGGAAGAACCCCTAGTGCCCATCTCTGCCCTGATGGTGTAGTTGGGTGCAGGGGCTGTTCAGCTGCTATTTGGGGCACCCACCAGGTATCACCTGAAGCTCCCATATCCCTTGATGCTTGTTGCATGAGGTGGGCACAGGTATCCCTCACCCAGAGTCAGGGCTGGCTGCTCCTGACTCACTGTGGCATTGCCTTTGAGGACCCAAGTCCCTGCAGGGTTCATGGCTTTGGTCCCCGCTCCCAGTGGTCCAACCCCTTGCATGCGTTGGAGGAGAAAGAGACCTGGAGAGGACCCCCCATGATCAGGGATGGGCTGAGGGGTAGAAAGGTCCCAAGCAGGAGTGACTATCCGGGAACCCCAAAACAACCATCACTGTGGGAAGAGAGAATGGGGGTGGGGGGTCTGCAGGAGCCCCAGGCTGGGGACACAGGGCTCACCTGTCACTGGAAGGAGGGGACTGCACCACTCCTGCCTATATGGCTTTGGAGACCTTGATCCCAGGCACTCTCAGCTCATCCACGAGCTCCTGCAGCAGCAGGGTTGTTGTTCAACTGGCCACCTCAAACCGTGCAGCTGCCTGTGCTGTGGGCTGAGGCTCAGACGCAGCCCCCCAACCCTGCTCTATGCCTGGCAGGCAGCAGGTGATGTGCATTTAGGACCAGCATCCAGGAGGGAGCAGAGGTGACCCAGCATGCCTATGGCCTCCTGTGACACCTGTCCCCACAGCAGGCACGCAATGAACTTTGTAGTCTGACCTCATTGCGACATGGGTCTGTGAGAGGAACTGTCCTTTACCCGATAACCTCAGCAAGGCTCTGACCACACAGCCTACAAAGCAACACGATGCTGCAGGAGGACATGGAGACAGAAATAACAACACACAGGCAGGAAGAGAGATGGTGCTTTTATTGCTGGCATTACCAAGGCAAGGGGGAATCGATCACAACCAAGGCAAACCCCCACGTGGTGCATTTCCACACAGCCAGGGCAGCAGCAGCTCCTGCCTGCAGTGGCTCCATGGTGTGCAGAAAGGATGGCAGCATCTGCAATGGGACAGGAGAGGAGGGTCACCCTTTCACCCGGCCATTACTGTTCGGACACTGCAGCAACCCTCTGTCTGAAGTCAGGTGTTGGTGGAAAGGGAGACTGGGAATCCACTGGGCTCTAAGCAGCAGTGCTGTATAAGGCAGCACCAGCACCCCCAGCTTACCAGAATATGCCCTGCTCCTTCCTGCGGTTGATGTCTCTCTTCAGCTGGCAGAGTGAGCACACGGGGCAGCACCAGATGGACAAAAAGTCTTTCATAATGGAGCCCTGTGGAGCAAGGCACACTGCGTGAATAACCCCTTCCCATGTCAGCTTTTAAGCTTTTCTATTTTTCATCAGCAACACCCCTGGGCAGCTCACCCTGCCCTGCAGCACCCTGCTGCTCATATCCAGCAAGGACTGGGATAAAGTGGTGTGTGATGGGATTACCTCCAGCTCACAGTGGTGATGCAGATGTGTCCCTGGCTCCCCCCCTGCAGAGATGCCCGTGCAACTCCCCGCCTCTGCTGGTCCTCTCAGGCACCCCTTTCTCCTTCCCTGAGCCCCCACCCCAGCACTCAGCTGGTCACTGACCGGGATGTTGTATCTGGTGCGGTAGAGGGTCCTCATGGCCACGCTGTCCCCACACAGGCAGCACTCATCCATGTCCCCAGCCACCTGGAACCCCAGGCAGAGGTAGCAGAAGCTTCCACAAAGACCTGTGGGACAGTGAGATATGGGCTTGGCTGAGGCGTACAAAGACCAAGGAAAGCAGGAAAAGACAGCCAGGAATGCGGCCATGGGAGCTGTGGCTCTTGACCTTAGGCAAAAGCTTCTCCACTGCTGGTACCCACTAAAGTGGGGTTTGCAGCAGGGGCAATGCTGCAGAAGGAGCCGGGAGAACACCAAAAAGACATCATGAGCCAACAGCAGGAATGAGGGGTATATATGTACTCACAGACGCCGCAGTCGGAGCAGCAGTCCATCAACCCAGTCTGCCACTGGCCTGGCTGTTGGGCAGCTGAAAACTGGGGCTGGATCACAACTACATTTTGAGGATCCATTGCCAGCACAGCGTTAGGTCCGTCTAGGCAGTTTGCAGTCTGGAAAGAAAAGCCATGAGAGAAAGATGCTGCAGGTGTTTCCAAAGTGGGTGTCTTGCTCAGACTGCTGCAGTCAAAGAGAGAGGGCAACACAGGTCTCAGGGGGATTTCCACTGCCAGGGTGCCACTCCTACCACAAAGGGAGGGGCACAGCCCTGCCAGGAGCTACCACCGCCCTCTGAAGCAAAGCCCTCCCCAAAACTAGCCTCCCACCAAAGGCACTAGCACCTCGTCCCCTGTCTATGCAAGTAAATTGCTTCTGTGAAAGCAGAAGTACTTTTGCTTCAGAACTACAGTGCTTAAAAATGTTTTGGGTTGGGTTTTTTGTTGTTGTTATGATCACAGTCTCCCAAAGCTTAATTCTAGCTTCTGCAAGCTCTCAGGAGTCACCTTAATCTTTGCTTTGTTTTGTGAGCGTCTCAGCCTATTTGCCTTCCTCTCTCCCTTCCTTCTTCACCTGCTTTCTTAGCGAGCTTCAAGGCAGTGGGTTTTCCTTGTCTCTTTCCATCATTCTAAGCCCAGTTACCAGTTCCCATCCCTCCTTCACTTTACTGACTGTGCCAATGCGTCATCCTCCTCTTCCTCAGTCCCCTGGGGTCACCACAGCCCCTGGAGTTCCTCTCCATTCCATCCTTCCCCAGCAAGGGGCTGAATCCTCTGAGAGCAGCAGAGTTCCTGCTCCCCAGCACCATCCCCATCAGGTTACACCTGACCCATGTAACATCTCCACTTCCACCTTCCTTCCCTGCTACTCCTTAAAGGGGGGGTGCAGCGCCACCTTCTGCCATTCTCACTTTGACTTTGGAGCTTTAATTTAAAAAAAAAATAAATACATATAGAGAATACTCCCACAGGAAGTCCCATGCAGACACACACTCCCTGCCCTATGCACAAGCTCAGCACCTCTCTGTTAAGCAGCTGAGGTGCAAAGGCTCCGTGTCTTAAAGCTACGAGAGCCTTCTCCCCCTCCCAGCACACACTGTACATCCTCAGCAAAGAAACTATCAGCGAGAAAATAGCCTGAGTTTTGGAGCCTGTAACTGCGAGCTGCTGCTTGGGAAGAGTCCCAAGGCAGCACCTCAGGGAGGTCCTGTCCATCTGCCACATCCTTGCGCAGTGTGCAGGCATTTCTGTGATGGTCACTGAGGGTGTTTAACAAAGCATCTCCAGGCAGTTCGGGTACTGCTTTGCTCCTGCTCAACTTTGGCACGTTTGTCCTCCTTGCACAGGCAGCGCTGCCTGTCTGGGTGATGGGTGGGGGTGCCCACCAAGCAGCCCTCCCTGCCCTACCCCTGTGTGACAAGGGAGTGCCTGAGTTTTGGGGTGCTGGGAGGCGCAAAAAGAAAAACAGCATTTATGTTTTGAAGAAAAGGATGATGGCATTAAATTCTGTTAAATTCTGTAAATTCTGTTAAAATGCTATAAGGGGAAATGGGATTGTTTTTATATCAGAGTTGAACATTTTCACAGAAGTTAAGTATTAAACACCAGAAATATGGTGGAACAAATATTTTACTATGCCCAGCACTCAGATGATGCCATTGAGCACGTGGTACCCACATCAGAGAGACATAGGCTGACGCATTGCATTTACAGACTGTTCCAGACACATCCCTGCTGTCAGACACAGCCTTGTTGCTGTAGGGTAAACATTTGTTCCTGGCAGTTAAAGGAAGAGGAAAAAAATTATTGAATTATGCTGTAAGAGGGAAGAAAGCTTGAAAAAAGTCTCCATGTGGTTTGCCTCTGACTTTTTGCAGCTTTCTGCAGGCAGTGGAAATATGGCTGGGCTGTCCCTATCTTAGACACTGGCACCTGCTCCCATTCAGTGGCCTGGAAAGGGCAGAGCAACAGCTGGTGAGAGTGTCTCAACCGCTGTTCTGCTGGGGTTTAAAGATCAGGCTGTTTCCTGCTACTGAACAACGCTGTCAAGCTGTAAAACTGTTGTTGTGCCCTCCCTGGGGCAAGTCACCCCACTGCTTGCAGGTAGAGACCTTTGGAGCAAGCTCAGGCAACCCCAGCAACCACGGGCACAGCAGGGGCCACCGCACCCACCATCCCTCACCAGAAACCTCCTGGCCCTGCCCTGGCCAGTTGGCCCTGCTTGTTTATGCACAAGATCCCAGGTAATTCCCACCACTTCTGCAGCCAACATAACACCTCCTGGCACGCCAAAACAGCAGCCCCTTCGAGGAGCCTTGACACATGATGATTTAAGAATAGGGAACCAGGAGGGTCAGGGGAGGAGACAGACCACAGACAGGCTGTGCACAGACAGACTGAGGACAGCAGGGAGAGACGGCACAGGGGTCCCATGCAGGGACAGGGATGCCCAGCAGCAAGCATGACCACAGGGAGAAACGTGCACAGCAGCAGCAGCAGCAGCAGGAGAAGTTTTAGGGGCAGGACCCCATCAGCCTCCCCTGCTGCTCCTGCACAGATAATGTGATCAATAGTAGCACCTCGTAAAAATGCCCTTCGCAGGCAGGGCTGACCACGGGCTTCCCCTTCCCCTCCCCAAGTGCAAGCACACCACATCCCTGCACAGATGGAAGCTGCGGTACAGAGCAGGCAGCAGCCTGGAGAAGCCTCTGGCACACAATCACCTCCTGAGAGATGGCCCAGGCCCAGCACATCCAACGTTATCCCCCCCGGTGCCTCCAGTTCTACAGCCCCACGGCATCACCAGCTGCACTGAAACAACTGACAGGAACAAAAGGATTCTCAAGAGCATGCAGCCACATTTCACCCATAACCAAGGTCATAAAGCAGCATTTATAGGCCCCTGTATATATGCACAAATGAACAATACAGTGCAAAAAGCTGCTCTCCTCTACCTCTGCTGCCCACTTCTGTTGACATGCCTGTCAGCAGCATCCAGCATGCCATGGTTTAGCCCTGAAGTAGTTTTCCAGGTAGAAAACCTAACCTTTATCTCCACCCCTTCCCCAGCCCCACTGCTTCAGCCGCAAGCAATTTCTGTAGTTCTGTACCTCAACTGAAGCAAAGCTACGCCATACCTACTTTCCAAGCCGTCCTCGTCCCAGGAGCAAGTACATCCTTTTCCTGGTTGTATCCCTTATATGTTCTCTGGCAAACGACCTCTGCTCTCTGACTCAAAGACCAGACTTGGGTTTCGGTGCTGCTCTGTGCAATTGCAGCTCCCTTGCTGCAGGCTGCCAGCCTCCTGCTGCTCCTGCTGGGCTCCTGCTGCCTGCCCTCGCCTTTCCCCACCCCAACATTCCCAAGGCCCAGAGCCCCAGTGGAACACACCGTTTTTGGGAGACGTTTTCAGGGAAGGGCAGTTTGTTTCCAGGCTCCTGTGCTGCCCTAAGCCATATTCTGCTGTAAGTGCAGTGCCTTTCCTTCATTAACCCTGAGCATCAGCAAGAGCTGATTGTAACTACACTGGGTGCCACAGGTGCTGCCTTGAGTGACATCTACGAAATCCTGACATGCTGTGCCGGGATGATGAGGCAGCCTGGTCCTTCTTCTCCCCTCCCTCTCCACTTTCCTGGCCTTTACCTCTCTTAGGCTAAAACCGCATTTTCTGTATGGCAAGGAATCATCCACAAGACTGACTGGGCAAACTGGGGTTTAGGGAGGTGGGAGAGCCATCAGGTACACCCACCCCACAGCATGGTCAGAGCCACTGCCTGCCCTTCAAAAGTTTTGTGGTGAAGGTGAAGGCAGAGATGGGACAAAAAAATTCTCATATTTTTCTTAAAAAGTGAATCTGGGGAATATTTTCAGGGATCGAAAATCCTTTAGCTTTTCTCTGAGTGATGGAGAGAGGGTGGATGCAACCTCCACCTCCTGGACAGGAGTGCCAGGGCCAACAGCCCAGTGCAGACAGATGGGCTCTAAAGGATCATGCAGGAAGGCAACAGGCCAACCAATGACCCAACCAGGATTTTAATTGCAGGTGGGTAGGAATTCATGCTCAGGGTCCATAGGGGAGCATGTCTCTGTAACACAGGAGGTGGGCTGGTGCCAAGCAGCTCCAAATCCCCATGCTTTTATGTTTGGAAAGGTGGAACTGGCCAGCAGCCCTGGACAGCCACCCAGGCCACCACAGCCGGGGCGACTCAGCACCAGGTGGCCTGAGGATGTCACTTATCTGCAGGAAGCCCCACTTCTACCCTGTAGTCGTAGTCACTTGTCCAACTTCTACAACTTGAATGAGCAACACTGACTCCTCCTATGTATAATATATCCTTTCTAAAAGCTGACTGAATAACAAAATACTAGTGAAAATCCTTCTCTGCAGCAGGCACGGGAAATCTCAGCTGCACCAAGGGCTGCTGAGGGTGGACGGAGCAGGAGAAGGGCAGGTCCTCTCAGGTGGTACAAGAGTGACATAGACAGAGGTAGGAAGACAAAGTCAAAATTTTATTGTTGGGAGTTACTCAGGGAGGGGGAAATCAGCTAAAATCAAGGCAATCTTCACATGGAGCATTTCCCAACAGCCAGGGCAGCGGCAACTCTTGCCCACAGCAGCTCCACAGGATGCAGCGAGGATCCATCTGCAATGGGATAGGAGAGGAGAGTCAGGGAGTGGGGCTGTGCCTCACCACTCTGTGTGGTCCACCAGTCCTTCCCTCTCCACCCTGCATGAGGTTCCCAGCAACATCTTACTGTAGGACAGGTCACTTTTGTCACATGTCCATGGCCACTTCCCCAGTGCAGCAACCCTTTGTCAGGTGTCGGTAGGAGACACTCTGGGAAGCCTCTTGGCCACATGTAATGGCAGCTTTATAAAGCAGCACCACCACCCCAGCTTACCAGAATATGCCCAGCTCCCTCCTGCGGTTGATGTCTCTCTTCATTTGGCAAACGGAGCACACAGGGCACCACATGGTGATACAGAAGTCAGAGCAAATGGACCCCTGTTGGGAAGAAATTAGTTAAGGACAGAGGCTTCCCAAAAGCCATGTTCCAGCCAAGAAACTGTTAATCCCGTTCCAGGTGGTGTGCCCTTTGTTTCTTGGCTGGCTGCAGCATCCTGGGTCACACACACTGAAACCCAGGGCTGGTGAACCCCTGGCACTATGGAAAGGAAGAAGAGAGTCCTTTGTGCAAGTTACAGATAGCTAGTCACCCTTTGGCTTCTAAGGTTCAGACTGGGGAGAAAAATGCTACACAGAGAGACAATTTGGGCGTGAACTTGGGCCCTCATGATTTGCACTTGGGATAGCAGCAGTCTACCCTTTGCAGGATGTAAACCCTTCACATATGTACTGTCCACCTTTCTCCCAAATCTGATTACAGATCCTTACCTGTTATAACCAACTTCATCTATTCTTTAATCTGCTCACAAGTATCTCAAATCTCTCCCATCTTTCAAAGATAAAAGGGGGAAGCAGCAGCCCAGGCTCTGCAAGCCACTGCGGTCAGCAGCAGCTCAGGGCAGGACACGTGCTTCCAGTGAAGGGTGCTGGAAAGGAGCTCTGTCCAGTTTATGTGTGTTGTTGGATACCAGCCCAGGGATTAGCTCAGTTGAGGATGTCCCTGTTCTGTGCCCTGTCATCATGCAGGATACAAAAGGGAAAACAATGGCAAGGGGAAATCACTGCCCTGTGCTTATCCCTTATAGAATCATAGAATCACATGGGTTGGAAAAGACCTCTGAGATCATCCAGACCAACCCCTGATCCAACCCTGCCGTGGTTACTAGACCATGGCACATAAAAACCTCCAGGGACGGTGAATCCACCACCTCCTCGGGGAGGCACCTCGCCTCTCAGCCTCACAGGAGGGTGAGGGGGCAGGTTACCCACTGACCGGGATGTTGTATCTGGTGCGGTAGAGGGTCCTCATGGCCACGCTGGTCCCGCACAGGCAGCACTCGTTCATGTCCCCGGCCACTTGGCAGGCGAGGCAGGGGAAGCAGAACATCCCGCAGCAGCCTGGCAGGGGGAGGAACACAGCAGGGGGTGAGGGTGTGCCTGCCCGCTCAGAACTGGGAGAACGGGGCTACACCCTCTCGAGAGGGTGTGTGACCGACCGCAGCACACCCCTGCTGAGGGCTGGCAGAGGGGACTTCCCACGGCACTCACAGACGCCGCAGTCGGAGCAGCAATCCATCAGCCCCGTCTGCCAATTGTACCGCAAGGCAGCGGGCGCGCCACACTGCGGCTGGATCGTCACGATGGTCTGCGCGGCCATTCCTGGATGCTCTTCTGAAAGAGACAGGTGGGGAACAGGAAAAAGGTTACTTAGTGAAAAAACTCTGGTTGGTCTGAACCTCCAACCAAACTGTGGGTCGTCGCCCTTCAGCAGGCTGCCTTTTGCCCAGCTCGCTTGCCGTCGCTGGAGGTGATAAAGCACAACCATATCTGACCTGCATCTGTGTCCTTTCAATGCTTTTGCATTTTCTACTACTTTATCCAGCCTTCAAAACAGCATCGGGCCATTGGCATTCCCCACTTCACCCCAGAAAGGTTTCAACTAGTGCTTAGACACAGCTCACTGATTTCCCTTGAGCCAAGGCAGGCTGGGCAGTAAAGCCAAGCTAAAGGGAACGACTTGGGCATTTCAGTTGTTGGACTTGGCTTTTTTTACACAAGATGGCTTTGGCATGGGTCCAAAGCATGTGGGAAGCACCTGCGGTCTCAATTCCTCGTAGCAAAGCCAGGCTCCACGCAAGAGAGATACTATAGAAAACTCTTATCTCCAGTTTCTTGTCATAGAGAGCCAGAAAGGCTCTGTCCCAACTCTGACACCCTCTCCTTGCCTTCCTATGGTTAAGCAAGAAATCTTGAAAACCAGTAAGCCTCAGGTCTAAAATAGTAATAAAAATAATGATAATAATAATTATGATAATGGTGGAGATGATGATAAAAATAATAACTACTCTTTCTGCTTCTATTTTCCTAGCCAAGTAAAAAAAGCACAAAACAGCCTTAGATAAGAATTCAAAGAAAGTTTGGCTTTGGGGCTAGGTTTTTCTAGATAAGAGAACGCCTGCCCACATTTGTTAAGACTTCTTTTCCTTTTTTCTACAAATTGGGTTGGTTTGTTTTAACTCTTAGAAACAGCAGCTTGGCAAAGGCAGAACCACAGTGCTGGCTAATCAAGCTCTCCCCTGTGCAGTTTCTGAGCTCAAAAGCCAGAATAGAAACTGAAATTAAGTAGGAGCTGCTGGGGGAGGGGGAGTACTCTCCACCTTTTGGATTAACCCATGCTTCTCCAGAAATCCCACTCCTGGCTTCACCTGGCAGCACAAGCCAGCCTGCAAGCCCGGCGTGAATCACAGAAGTCACAGAAGATGCCAAGTTGAACGGAAATGCAACTAGAGGCAGTACGAAGCGTGTCCAGAGGGAACTGCAAGCGTGTGATGCTTTCGAGAGCTTCCCTCTGCCGACCCACAGCCGTGCTACCAACATGTGGTGAATCTCTCTACGCGTTTACAAACTCACAGTATTCTGTACGCGAATATTATTCACATATTTTCTCCTCTCCTACCTGCAAACATGCAAACAGATCTCTTAGCTGTAAAAATTAAGACTGCAGCACGAAGCTGCTCTTGCCACCAACAGCAAACCCCGCAGAAGGGACAGCAAACACACAGGGAGATCAGGCAGCAACCTAGGAAAGCGATCAGTATCCAAGCTCGTGGCAGGCCAGCCCGGTTTAAAGAGAGAGTAAAATACCAGTCGGATTCCTTAACATAGTTATGCGATTCTGTCAGCAGGAGAAAGCAGCAAAGGTAAGTGCTACACATAATCCAGCTTTCGTGCATAGCTCTTTAAAAGCCTCCCCCCTTCCCCAAGTAAAATTTGCAACATAGTTTGCTTTAAATTATGTGCTAAGCTGGGGAGAAAAAGAAATCCTTACTTTGGCATTATTATCCCACTCTTCCCAAGCTAAAAAGTTATTAATAATTCCATGCTTTAAGAGAACCAACCTTTTGGTGAGCAGCCTCTGTCAGAGCAGGCTTTCTCGCCAGCCGGGACTGTGCTGAAAGAGCTCTGGGGAAGGTGAAACTAAACTTGCGCACGCTTGGAGGTTCTTTCTGGCAGCCAACAACAGGCAAGTATGATGGGTGGGAGGTAACTTGAAGGGGGTGGTGTGGAGATTTGCCCTGTCGTTAGGATTACAGATTTAACGAGCCTTTTTTTTTTTTTTCTTTTCCCAGACTTAACTATTCATCTTATTAAAAAAAAAAAAAAAAAAAGAAAAAAGTGACATATTTATTGTCTATTCTTTATTCCCTTAACTCTGCCTCCTTGTTGCTCGTCAGGGGAGTATAGCTCTAAATGATACGCACTCTTTGGGACAGACATTTTCCGAACATTTTTCCACACAGAAAAATTGTACTTATATCCCAGACCAGACTGAAGGCAGAGCACCTCCGAGTGCTTCACTCTGAGCTCTTCCCTTTCCTTAAGGAATAAGCTTTGGACAAAGGGGTTGATGCAGACCTGTTTGCTTTAACAGCCAGGTTCGGCAACGGTGGGCGGGCAGAGTGGTGGGAAAGGGGCTGTGTCAGGGGGCTCTGGGGGACCGAAACCTGTCTGTGGAGCTCAGAACAGCCCCTGCCCCAGCCCGCTGATGCAGAGGGCTAAACAGGGCACTCTCAGTCAAAGCCAGCAGCAGCTAAACCCACCTGCACCAGGGGGCAGCTCCCTGCAGGTCAGCACCCTGTGCCATGACCTTGACATGAGGAGAAGCCCCAGCCGTCCTATTACGCTTCCATTCAGCCCCAGACAAGGAGGCAGCAGGGAGCAATGACACCTTTGATTTTAATCCTGTTCTTCATCTGCAGTGTGCTCCCTGCTCCTTCTCAGCAGATGCAGGCTGGAGGCTTTCTGGAAAAATCAGGCTGATTCCCTAAGTGCTTGTCACAAGCCGTGTAGCCCAGCCACTGTAAATTGAGTACTTACCATACAAACATCAACTTCCCTCTTTGATAGACTAATATTTACTGTTTGTTCACTAACATGCCCCAAATATTTAACCACGCAGGCCCTGTGCAAGTCACTGACAGTTTTGGATACACTTCCACCTTTTGCAGAGAATCTGTGGCACCAGGACAGCATTTTTTGCTTTCTAACAGGATGCACAGAGTGTGCAGACAACCCAGACAGGGTCTGAGCAGGTGCTTGCTTGGGAGCAAGGTAAGTTCAATGCATCCCACAGGAAGTGCTGATGGTGTGTTCCCCTTTTCTCTCACCCTTGACAAGAACAGAGAAAGAAGACATTTGATTAAACTGCAATTTAGGAGCTTTATCAAGAGACTGAGATTTATGGTGCTTTAAAGGAAGCCTTTTACCAATAGTCCTGCTGAGATAACAATGAGCCGTGCCCTGAAATGCTTCCCTCAGCTTCCAACAGCTCCAAAGTTTAACTGTGACTCTCCCTGCTTTATGATGGGGCTGCCTGGCCACCCCCTGGCTGAATCATGATTCATTTCCTTTCCCCAAAACATTGCAAGAGGCTGTGGGAATTGAGGTTTGCAAAAAGTTGTACTTCCTAGAAGAGGGGGTACGTGGCATCCCACTGGTTCATGCAAATACCAGCTGGCCTAGGAAAGGAGGGAAATGGGAAGCTGAAATGCATAGCCAGTATGGGAGTTAACACATAAAAAAAGTATTCATCACCAACGTTTTAAGGATTTTAACAGCTTGCCCTCCATTGAGAACTGGGGTGACCCTGACTGAGCAATCAAGCCCTGAAAATGCTTTTCTGCCACAGAAAGGCCACCCACTCCTATATGCAATCCTGGTTCATCAAGTGCATCTGACAATAAAAAGTCCTTTATAAACACCTACCTCAGCTTATTCCCTTCACCTGGCATTTAAGTCAAACAAAAAAACCCAGCAAAAACGTCAGCAGTGAAATCAAAATGTGGATACCTAAACTTCACAGCAAGAACATCACCCTTGCCCAGTGCTGGGCAGGAGGACCGATTGCCTCCTGCTGCAGCTGCTGTGGTTTCTGGCCAGAGCTCACCACAGGGCCTGACCAGGGCTCTGCTGGTGGCTGGTGGCTCTGATCCCCTTCACATGTGGCTTCTTCAGGTCTGCGAAGTGGCACTGCGAGGAGACAGATGGTCGGCTGCAGAGGGTGCATCTCTTAGCCACAGCAAGACAGCAAAGAGCAAAACATCTCAACAGCTAGGGAGAAAGGAAATGTGCTAACAAAACCAACCCTGTAAAGCTTTTCTCCAGGTGCTAAGAACAAAAGGCTCCAGAGAGACCTTATAACATCATCCAGTACCTAAAGGGGGCTACAAAAGAGATGGAAAGGGACTTTTTACAGGGGCATGGAGTGATGGGACAAGGGGGAATGGCATTAAATGGGCAGAGGGTAGGTTTAGATTAGATGTTAGGAGGAAATTCTTTCCTGTCAGGGTGGTGAGGCACTGGCACAGGTTGCCCAGAGAAGTTGTTCATGCCCTATCCCTGGAAGTCTTCAAGGCCAGGTTAGATGGGGCTTTGAGCAACCTGGTCTAGTGGGAAGCATCCCTGCCCACAGCACAGGGTTTGAAACTAGATGACCTTTAAGGTTCCTTCCAACTCAAACCATTCTGTGATAATTTCCAAGTAGACAATGGAAAAATTCAGCTGAAATTAATATTCACCAGTTTACTACAGTAAATGCAATATTGATGAAGACACAGGAGCACAAATTAAAAAACCAACCAACCAAACAAAAAAACTAACACAAAAACCCACAACATTTTTTTAATACCTTTTTGCTTTCTTTGCAAAGAACAAAGCATGAATTATTTGTATTTTACAGAGCAGTTGCAACCAGAAACTAGTTTATTCCATTTTAGGCCACTCAGATCTGAATGTTTATGCCCATTCTCTGTACTTCTTCAAACAACTCCATAGCACAACTCAAAACACAACCACAAATGAGCAAAGCCACCTTCCCCAGCATGCTGCCTTGCGCTCCTAGTTCCACAAACCCTGCCATCTCGAGTGGTGAGAAGTGGGTTCATTCACAGAGGGTCTGTGTAAGCCCACTGGTGTGCAGGTTTGGGGGGCTGTCTGGCAGAGGAGGGTCCCTGGGGGCCTCTCTCCAAAGCTTTGGTCTCACCAGCCCTTTCCAGAGGCAGAGTAACAGCCTCAGATGTGGAAAAAGGGTTTCTGAATCTGAATCTGAAACTTAACTTTTTTCTAGATATCTCAGCTGGTTCAGTGGAAGAGCACATCTCCTGCAAACCTTGCTTCGTTCCCACAACTTGGAACGGCTCAGGCTGAAGAAAAAATCCTACATCTATAAAAGCCATAGGAGAAGGGAGTTGAGAAAGGGGAATTTTCACATCCCTTAGAAGTATAGCTAAGGGTCAGGTGCACATCTCACCAAAACTGAAGCCATTGCAGTTGGTACAAGGAGAGAGCTGCTCCCTGCCCATGTCTGCACATTCCTTGTCCCTCCCACGCCGGGGACGTTGCACATGGAGGAGTGGGTCTGCTTGGCTGGCTGATCAGACAGAAAATGGTGCTGGGGCTATGGCTGGGAGGGTGCAGTGCCATCTGGGCAAGGTGCCTGAACCCCCTGTGCCGCAGGCGCACAGACATGAGGTCCAGCACACAGTGTAACGCTCACAGCTAGGGCTGGGGGCATCACCTGCTTTGCAGCAGCTCACAGTCACGGCACGTCAGACCTAAATGAAAGTATTAGGAGAAGTGGTTTCAAATCCCTCTGCAGCTGCATGCTGGCTTGGGCAATGGTTTGTCACAAGATGTCTCAAGCAGCCTGGCTGAGCTTCTGCTTCCTGTGCACATCTTGTCGTTACGCTTTCAGTGGTGCCACTCTTTCTCCAGGTCACTCAGAGCTGCAGGATAATGCCCTCTGGGAATCAAGCTTTATCTCAGGAACTCACTAGGTAAAAAACAAGTAAAGTAAAAATCAACCTCTTTGTAGATCAGTCCAACTCATTAATTTTGTAGTCTGCTGCTTCATTAACTCCCTAACTCAAAAATTCACTGATTTGCACCTGTACACAAGCAGAAGAGCTTCCAGAGGGTGCAAGTGCAGATCCTCCTGTCCCCATCCCTGTCCCCAGATGGTGGTGGGAAGCAGGAGAACCTCAGCTGCTCTTGGGCCAGCTCTGGCAGTTTTCTGGGGTCAGGTAACCTTTGGCTATTTCCAGCTTGGACACGCGCTCTGTGCCATTTCTGAGGCAGTTTCATCCCAAGCTGCCAGCTTCTGCTTCCACACTGCAGGGGATGATGGACCTTACCTTCTCCTGTCCCTCGTGTCCAGCACACGTGGTATCCTTGCTTTAACTCAGTAGTGCTGCCCCCCAGCATACACAAGGAGCACATAAGCAGGACCTGAGTGAACACCCACACGTGATGCATCAAGAAGTTAATTCAGCATTTGCCAAGGTATTGGCAGAAGCACATCCAACACCCTTTGCAACAGCATTTGACATGAGAAAAGTATTTTTTTAATGTATCGATGTTACTTAGAATAAGTTGTACGATTGATTAAAAGGGGCCTTTAGTACTTAATAATAAAGATGCTTTTTAAGACAGATGGGAGAAGTTATGGAGAGAGAATTGAACCGGGAGAGATGATGTGCAAGAGAGGGAAGCTGTGTGGCTCCACACCTGCTGTGTGTACATGACCACAAGTCCTTTTCTGGGAAGAGCTTTGCTGTTTTTTTCCATGGCAGTCTCATGACCCAGTGTGCTTGCCCTAATGGTGGGGTAGGTCACAGGCTCTGATGGTAGCTCCCCATGTGTTTAACCTCCGTTTTTCTGACTTACCTTGTCATAGATAAATCAGCTCTGAGCAGTTCAAACTCTCAAAGGCAACTTTTTGCCCCTGCTACCCTTACCACTGGTTTCTCAAGCAAAACCTGAAGACAACAGGTAGAAACTCCCCGCTTTCGCACATCCCTAGTGGATGTTTTCCCTGCGTGCATGTCCCAGGATCTCAGAGGACCCCTGACAGCACAGCAGCTCACAGCTGGGCTGAGGGACAGAGGAAGGAGTGAGAGGACACTTTCCCCATCCTACCCAGCAAACAAGAAATAACAGGCTACTGGTCCCTGAGTTGTGCCA